AGGATGTCTGGAGCCATGTGGTACGACCCAAATATAACAGCACGAGGCAGCCAGAGAGCATCGTTCTCGGGTCACACAGGAAGTGTATCTCTTTGAACGTCCCCCAGACCCTTTCTGCACAGGGCATTATGATGCCAGGGAAGGAAGAGGTAACCACTGAGGAGATTTTGAACCACTTTTGAACCATTGAGGAGATTTTGGCAATGCCCAGTGTGGGACACTTCTGCCTTACAGAAAGCATAATGGGAGCCCTCATAAATGAAGATATGCCTTTGCTGTGAAAACAATGGTGCCTCTAATTACAAGAGAAGAATCTTCAGTCTTAGAACCAAATTATTGATAAGGAAATATCCTTATTTAAGTGTATCTAATTGAGAACTGCACTCCAGCTCCTATACATGGGTGATGCTCAGCAGCTGTGGAAGTAGAAGTAATCCAGCTGACTTCTCACCCAGCTCTACGGTGCTTTACAGCAAAGCTGATGAAGCCTAAAGGTGTCTCTCCTCACAAAACCTCACTGCATCCCTCCATGTGTTATTGCTGCTCTGAGGCAGGGATGGCAGAAAGCCCCAATGGGGATTTCTGCTCGATTTTGGTGAAATTTGATGTTAATTTGGGATTATGTCTGAGCCTGAATGTGGGAAAGAAAGAAGGCACCTGTAGGTGCCTGCTGAGCCATGATGTGGCTCTTATTCTCTGCCTGCTGTCGCAGGTTGCCCTGCCCTGCAGCTGCTCAGACCCACATGTAAACACCAAGCCACCAAATTGCTCTCCAAGTTACCTTTCATCTCCTGGAAACAGAGAGTGAAACCAAAATCTGCTTTGCTGTGTTTAGAGCTCAGCTGGCCACCTCTCTGTGATGAAAAATCCTGCTGCCTTCATGTCATGGCTTTGGGGCTGTCTGCTGGGGTGCTGTGCTCCCATCCCAGTGTCTAGGGCCAATTTTCGTGTTCTCCGGTCCTAATGGGGACAGAGTCCTCATCCCAAACCTAGCAGTAAGGAAACTAGCTGTCTACTCAGCTTTTCCAGAAAAAAAGTGAAGTGATGGCTGGGAGGCCCAGTCCCTACTTAATGCTGTGATGTTGCTATGATGCTTCTTAAAACTGACTACTGGGAGTTAGCAATGAGACAAACTGTGTTTGGTTCCTGACCAAGTCTATGCTTGTTTGTGATGCAATTAGAGTGAAGTAATACACATTGCATGTAGAATGGTCCAAATTTCTCATAGAGATGAGTGTTATTGCTGGGCAAAGCTCAGGAACTGTCCCCAGCCCGGTGGTAATTGTAAGGTATGGCAGTCCTTTGAAACTGTTTTTGTATGCAGGGCTGGAAGGGACCTCCTAACTCATGTCCAATTGCCTTCTATTTTCTTCAACTTTGTAGACTATTGGTTTTCATAAACATGACATGTTCTGTCTTCAAGGGGAGGGGCTTGTCCTCATAGTATTCCAGCTGAAAACCTCTCCAAAACCTCCAGGCTCTGTGACCAAGAAATCATCTTCTCCTTTCCAACCTGCCTTCCATTTTGTCTGGTCCATACCCATTTAATTTGCATCAAAAAATGTTCCTTTGCTTAAAAACATTCCTTTTCTCCTTCAGCAAGAGAAAACACAGAACCCAGTGTAGAGGCTAACCAGTGGCTACCTCTTGAGATCCTCATGCAGTTTGCCCCAAACTGTAGCAACTCACACATCTGATGGTTAGAGCACTGGATCTTATAGCCCCATAGGATTAGCAATAAGACATAAAAAGAGAGATTTCAGAAATTGCTAGGATGTCCAGGGAGACTGAGACTTACTGGTTCACCACATCAAAAAGACTGCCCTACTGCCTGAGCATCCCTGTTCCTACCATGTGAGGGTAGATGTCAAAGAGGATTTGCAGTAGTCAGTGAGAGTTTCTAAGCCACTTGTCTGCCAGCAGCACTCAGCCAAAGTTCAGAGAAGGTGAGAGGAAAGCAAACCTTTGTGTTTTCATGACAACATGTATTTTAACCTACCTAGATCTGTTCTCTCATTAAACTTAAAAGCCTCCTTGTTTTCAACCTCCTAAAATTGGCAGGAAGTGCTCATCCATCTTTGCAACGCCTTTAGAGCCTGGCATGTTGTCCCTGCTGAATCTGGGCAGCTATCTAAATCAGTAATGGGAAATCCACTGATGCTGTCTGCTTCACAGAGACAAAAGCAAGAGATCATCCCAGCTCTGCAGGGCTGATGAGCTGACGCAAGCATGACCCCATGCCATCTCCACCTCTGGGAAGCCAGGCAGGTTGATGCTCTGCTGATAAACATATCTGCGGCTGAGGAGCTGTCTGCAGCGTGGCTTCCATAATTACTGACTCTAGTTCAAAGACTTTTATGCAAAGGAACAATGGGGACCAAAACAGTGTTGCAGTGTGTTATGTACCACGGTGATTTGCTGTGATGGAAAGGCTTGCCCTGTCAGACAAGCCTGCTTTTTGTGCCTCTGTCTTCTTCAGAGCACAGTGGTAATTCCTACCAGTAGGGAGGCTATTGTCCATCTTTCAAGGTTGATGTTTAAGAAGATGAAAACAAATTTTCTCAAAAAGGAAAATGCCAGCCTAATTGTCCTGAGTGAGTATGCAGGAGACACATGTACTTTTGCCTCAATTTCCTGCCTTCCCTTCGTATTGATACTCATGGCCTTTCTGCTCTCAGCAGGACGTAGACAACTCTGGGCCACGACCCACCACGTGGCCAGGCCCTGGCATCTCAAAGTTCACCATGCTGCTTTTGCTGCAGCCTGGCAGTCAGTGACCAACATTATGACTGGGCAGCCCCCCTGCAGCCAGAGCCCTATCTATTTTGCAGAGAAATGCTTTGTTTAAATCAGTCATACTCTATTCAGTCAGCACTGATGAGACAAGGTTCACCCCAGCTGTGGTTGCCTGGAGAGGCCATAAAACTTTTTGAATTATATTATCCCTTAATGACTGCCATGTATTTGCTGAGACATGGTTTATTTTCAGTCCCAGCGCAAACCCAGAATAGAAGCCTAGTGTATTCACACCCTGAAGGCAAAGCTACAGGCAGCACCTTCAAATTATCACTAAATAACATAAATCTTTCCTGACTGGTGAACTGCTAGGAGGGGAAGAGGAAAAAGAGAGAAGCAGTGGCATCTAGGCTCAGAGCTGCAAGGGTTGGAGGGGTGGCTCATTTCTTCTCATCAAGAAGATGGGAATCCTGAAGTCCAAGTCAGAAGTGGTCAGTGTGGTTGGGTTACTCCAGGGTTCATCCACACTGACTGTTGAGAATGGATCTGTGGTCCATCAGCTCTGTCTGCACTGCATGTGATGCTCACCAAAACAGTACTGTTTCACCCTAAAATTCACAGGAAAAAGCTCATCTAAAAAAAAATGTGAAACTGCTTGGCCAGAACCAGCTTGTAACCTTATTCTCAGTTGCATGAGGTGAGATGAAAAGACAGGGATGTGAAATACATGGACTGGGTAGTAGCTGGGGCTTGTTCCATGCCTAGACAGTTTCCCAAGTGCGGAATGACCAAAAGCGCTGAGGTCTCAGGGCAAAAGGGATGTCTGGAAGAACCTCACAGGGAGAAGTGATTTTGCTGTGAGTCACCCTCAGCTCAGGTCTGATATCCCTGCCTAAAGATGCAGAGGTAATAGTCTCTGATTAATGCTGGCAAATCTCTGTGAACTTCAGTGAGAATATGAAAGGACTGACATGTCTTTCTGAGATGGGGGTAAGATAGAGTACAGCCAAGTGTGGGAAGAAAATTAAGCTGAGATGTAGTTTTTAATTACCAATAAAGCCATGCTCCAGGACAGAGGGTTGAGAACTGGACTTGGTCTCTTCCTATTGTCATGCTCCTTCAAACGTGGAGAGGAGGTTGGGGAAGAGCACCTAATGCTCACTGTGGAGTTGTATTTATAATATTGGAATGTTCATGCTGGCTCCTTTTCCTTTCTGTAATTATTTAGACCACAGCTGTGGCCAAAGACTTCCGGTGGGTGCCAATCAAATATTGAAGGGCAGCATAAGTGAGCTCAGCACTTAGCAGAAGCAAGCTGTCCCTTCACCAGCTGACCACCCAGACGAGGAGTGAGGGAGGCTGGGCTCTGGACTGTACTGTTCCCTGCTCAGAACATTCCCTGTTTTCCAGAACATGCAATTTCAGGTTTCCTTCACCACCTCTGAAGGTTGGAGATGTTTGCTTTAAATGAATTTTGTGTTTCCTCCTTGATTACCTGAACCCAAGAGCTGGAGCAGTGATCGCAGTGTTTGGTTTCCAGATCTACTGAATTCATGAAAGACAATTATGAATGGTTAGTGTCTGGACACATCTCAGGCTTTTTGTCCCATTTTGAGAAATATGAGGAGAAATGCTGTGATCTGTGTGGCAATAACTCTTCATGTGCTTTGGCACCCCATGAAGACCAGTTAATAAACGTGTATCACGTGCCATGGAGGGGAGGGAGCTCCCTTGTTCAATTGGAAGAGAGAAAGTTATTTGTCCAAAGCCATGCAGGGGAATGATGTTAAAGCCTGAGTTAGCACTTCCAAATTTCTGATGACTAAAAGCAGATTTAGACTTTTCCTTTCTCCCAGCACCTACCACAGTGCTTTTATAATCTGAAAAGAGATGTTTGGAGACAGGGAACAGACCCATAGCAAGAAAAGACAGGAGATCTGTTCCCCTGTTCTTACTGGTACTCTGGGGCAAATAACCAGATATTTCAGGATGCTCCTTCCAGGGTATAGGTGTATTGTACTGGTTAGCACATAATCCCTGTATGTCAGGCTTAGCATCTTTTGACAGGAGTCTTGTACATTTAAGATTTTTCAGTTATACGCTGATAACTTGTTATTCTACAATTCTACTTGGCTTACAGAAAAGAAAAACCCTACAGAAGATATCACAGCGTAACACATCCTCACTTCCCCTCCCTTCAAGATTACACGCTGCTGCCCAGATAATATTCCAGGGTGGATGACATCTTTCATGTGCTCCATCTTATTAAAACCCCTTAGCACAGGGCATGAATATTCATGGGCACTATATATAGCACTGTGCATGTTAGTACCCACGGCTGGGAGCACAGCTTGGTTACCTACACTAGGATCTGGACGTGTAGGTGTCTGTAGGGCCTTTTTCTCTGTGGCCACCCAGGCCCTTGCTGGTGATGGCCCCAGCGCTGTGCGAGGACTCTGCTGCTCTGCTCTCCTGGCAGGGGTTGCACAGGGTTTCAAAGCCTCGCTCCAGTGTGGTTACTAAAGGCTTTTGTTTATCTTGTGAAATCTGCTCTGTGAATGCTGACACCGGCTGAAGTGCTGGGAGAGTTTCCCCGGCTCTTCCTCTCGCTGTCTCTCACGGGTCTATTCCCATGAAAACGATCTCAGGTGTGCGGTGCGTCATCATCCTACCCCGGGCGCTTTCTGCCTTACTGGCAGGGAAGATGAATGCGCACTTTCTGAAGCTCTGCCCATGCCCCGGTGCTCCTCCTGCCTCCCAGCCCCCTGCAGGGACCCAGGGCTCCCAGCAGGAGAACAGCCCATGCTGGGCAATACTGCCTCGAGCTCATCTCTGCTGCTCAAGCAGCATTTTCCCAGCCTCTCTCCTGTCTCACCCCGCAGGGACCCAAGCTCTGCCAGAAGAGCCGAGTCCTCTCACGACGCGCCCTGCTGCAGCATATGCCGCCAGATAGGAAAGAAACGCAGGCTCCAGGGCTGGGGGTCTCAATAAGGCAAAGATCACACAGTGACACCACCATGGTGGTAGTCCTCAGCCCACAGCTTCCTTCTGCCCAGCCTGGCTCTGCTCATGGCTGAGGAGTGGATCCGCCATGCCAGCAGCCACGTGACCTGCAGGACACCCGCACGAGGGGCATGCTGCAAGAAAGGGATTCAGCAGCCCCACTTGCCACTCTGCAGGACCACAGAGGTGCCTCCACAGCAGGCTGAGCTGTCCCAGCATGGCCCTGGCCTTGCAGGATGCCTCCTGCCACCAGCCACTTGCTGCAGGGGCGGTGGGCATACAGCCTCAGCCTGGATCCTCTGTGCAGCGCTGCCCTCCATGCCGCAGGCCTGTGGGAGGTTGCAGCAGAACCTGGCTCGCTTTCTGAGAAAACAAGGAAAGAGAGATTTACCCTAAGCCCTGGGAAGCCCATGTATTTTCATTGTATTTTAATTTAAAGCGATTGTCTGCCCCGCCCAAGATTATCTCATGGGAAAGAAAAGCCTGGCTCAGTGACTCGTGGTGAAACTTGTCCCCGAGCCAGATTTCCCACACCTGATGTTCCTCTGCAGCAGCAGAAACCGGTGTATTTCAGTTCACAACACAGCCCCAGGGGCAGCGCTGGGGGTGAGGGGACGGAGGGGGAGGATGGGACCCACATCTCCTTCTGCTCTCCCAGAACAAGTCAGGCAAGTTTGGGTGCTGAGTGGCTGGGTCCCAGAGCTGGAAAGGGCACGGTGTCACCCTGGGAATGGGCATCACGTGGTACCGCAGCCAAGGGAACCTGTCTCAGGGATACGTTGAAACATACCCTGCTCTCTTGTGCAATAGGTCTTTGCAAGTACAATGCTGTATTTATACGGTGGGAACGGAGAGCCCAGGGCTGGACTCAGCAGATGCGTGAGTAAGCAGCTTCCAGGAGTCCCAGGTGCCGGCTGGGCCAGCCCTGTGATTCCTCCTCGGGGAGCAGATGCATGCAGAGAGCTGGGGCTTGAGCAGCATTTCCCAGCACAGGGGGGTCAGCTTTGGAGCTGTCTGATAAAAGATGAGCGGTTTCTTTGTGTATAAACACTCTGTCACCTGGATGCACCAAAGCTTGGCTCTGAGAGAGGCAACAATGCAAAGAGCCAAGATCTGTAAGCAGCACAAGCAGACCAAAGACAGGTGGAAAAAGTCAAACTGGCCCCGCTTCCAAAATGGAAATGATTGCTTCAATTGTAATCCATTAGACAACTTGATGAAAAAGCTAGTTAGCACCTGAGGTGCATTTAAAAAAGGTGATAAAGCTGTTAACACAGTCATACCCCTCTCAGGAAAAGGGGAGGGTGCAAAGTTCTTGTGATTGCATTTCAGCAGGGCTCCTGGCCCTGATTGCCCCCACAACTGGGCTCGTGTCAGCTCCTGATCAGAAATCAGCCTGTTCTTTCATAGTAAGTAGGGTGTAACCTAGAGGGCTTCGAGCTCTCCTGAAGGGACCTTTGAGACTTGCCCTTCTGGCTCTGGGAAGGAGGCTGTGTTGAGTCAGATGAAACTTGGTATTATTTTGGGGATTAATTCCTTGTCAGGGTTTAGTGGAAGCTCGGGAAAGCGTTGCCAGCTGGGATCTTGGCACAGCTGAGCCCGTTTAGGGTGTGCTACATACAGAGAAAGGAAAAAAAAGGCCCCAGTTTTCTTCACATCCCTCCCATCACTAGCACCAGAGCTCTGTTGGGGCTTCATGTAGAATTACATGACGTAGTGTTTGCCTGTGCTGAAGGAGTTGTGTTGGCTACACCAGTAGGAACTCTCTGATGAGTTACTCTGTTGGATGCAAAAGCTTGCAGACCAGGATCTGAGTCAGAAACCAAAGTAAGAAGGGTACTAGGAACCTCTATTCTACATGCACTATTTTTGGCACTTGATGCTGGTCGTTGTGCAAATCAGATTGAATAAAGGTCTCTTCTGGTCTCAGGTAAGTGACACTTGTATGGAATCACGCTTGTCTAGCAATGGGCTTGGCTAGCTTAATCCAACCTGGTGGGGTGGTTTGTATTAGCAACAGTCTCCCAGGAACCATGCTGTGCTCTCAGCATCATCTGAAAATACAGGTTGGTCAAGCAGCACTGCGACGCAGAAACAAGCCTGAGCCTTACCAGAGCTCTCTTTGTCCCAGCAAAGCCACCTGGGGCTCCATTTAATGAGATAGCCTCGCTCCTGGGAGGAGTGGTGGTGAGGCTGAGTTCGCAGGTTTCAGCGAGTTTTAGTGTGCTTATTGTGCACATGACAGGATATGGCTCAGTGGAATGACTCATTCCGTGAGAAGTTAATTCACACTTTCCTGCTGTTTCCATTCACAGGTCTTTCTGGGAACGTGAATGCTGGGAAGCTGCAAAGCTGGCTCCATTTATCAGCAGTAATTCCCTGTTCCCTTCCAGTTTCTGCATTCTGTGTGCTCATTACCTGTGCTCCACCATGTTTGTTCTTTTTTTTTTTTTTATCTGAGCCCCAAATGCAGACAGATAAGAGCCCTCCATAGTCCTGTGTGTGAACTTCTAGGATAGAGTTTTGATGTTGTAGGGGCAAACTTTTCAGCATTTCATTAAGCACTTGCTAGTGCTTAACTACCAAATTTAAGTGAGTTCAGTGGCAAAATTACCCACCAGCCTAATGACAGAGCAGCAAGCTGTTATTAAGGCTCCAAATGCAAGTTCCATTTGGGCTTGTCTGAGGACCTCCAGACCAGTCCCTGGCTGATGGCTTAAGGAGGGGCACCAGGAGCCTTGCAAACTTATTGTTTGTCCCTTCAGCAGCCTCCATCCTGAGCAGCTGCTGAGGGAGAGGAACATTAACTGAGGCCACAGGAGGATCTTGAAGGCTTTCAGTGATTGGAGGGGGAGGGATTTTTACCCTTGTTAAGTCCCTAACTTTACAAGGGAGAAATGAGGCAATTCCCCTCTTACCCTACCATCAGTAAAATGGAATACCTCCTCCACTATCTATAATCCAAGCTTACTTTGCTCTGACAAAATGATGAACGCAAATTGCAGACATTAAAAAAAAAAAATTTATTTGAACAAATATTTGACACAATCACAGAGGAAGAAAGCAGCTCTCAGTACAGTTTCTTTTCCAGAATGAAAGAATCCCTGTTTATACCAAGCTACTGCAGGATAATGTTTGCTCTCCCCAGCATGGGGTAAGGTTGCTGTTCTTTGTACCTGTGGATTTGCTCCGTACAAGGACAGTGCAGCAGGTCACATCTGAATCCTTGCTTTCACAGGTTAAAGAAATGCATAAAGACCCAACAGACAAACCAAAGTCATAATACAGCAAAGGTACCTGTACAGGTAAGAGACACTGGGATATATGGTGACTGAGAGCTTTGTTCAATAAATTGTATACTGTCTAGAGATGTGTAGCACACCTCACTTCTAGCTATTGCCTTTGTACTCTCCATCTCTTTAGATCCCTCGCTGGACCTGGACAGCATTTTGGTTGGGGGAGTCCTGTCAACTCACAACTTGTTCTGGCACACTAGTCTGTTGAGGTCTCAAAGCCCTACCCAATGAGCAGCTCTAAGGCTGAAAGAAGACTTGCCCATCTCATTCAGACCACTGATAACAGCAGCCTCGTGTCACGTCCTGGGGACTACATGAGCTGTACCACAAAGAGAGATGTTTGCAGGCATTAGGATCTAGAGCCACATTGGATTATATGTACTTATTTTTGTACAAGCCACTGGCCCAATTATGCATTCTTTCAACACAGGGCAAACATTCACAACTATATCCCCTAACTATAGCACAAACATCACATTATTCCAGAGCATTCCCAAAGCGATGGATCTTGTCCAGATGCAGAGAACCCCGAGTACTGAAAGCATTGCTTGACAGATCTGTCATACTTTGCTACACAAGCCAGAACAAAATGTCTCTGTGAGAAAAGTTTTAGAAGTTAATGCAAGTTCTGCAATAAAGTGTGACTAGACTCACTAGTAAATGAATCCCCTGAGAAACAGGGGAGTGGGCAATGAAGCAAACGTAGCAAATGTCTGTCTCTGACAGGAACTTCATGAGTTTCCCTTTTTAGTTTCAGCAGACCAAGTTGTGATCCTTGAGAAAGGAAAGCACAACTGAAAGAAGCCCTGAGTCTTCCATTGCTGCTCAGCAACCTCAGGAAGGACAGCATGAGGTAATTGCTACTCTCTTGCCTAGGTTTGAAACAGAGGATTTTACTGGCCAAGAGGAACTACCTCTCCACGGATCCCTCCTTTTGATTCAGAATTTAAAGTATGGACAACATTACATTGAAATTGACATCACTAGTCCCTAAATGACTCACCGATTAAGTAGAATCACAACTTTCATTTAATGCTGTTCCTTCTTTCCTTATTCATTTTTCCCTTCTTTCACCTCTATTTTCCTTTTACTCCCTTCCTTTTCTACCTTCTCTCCTTTTCTTTTGTAACATACACTGACTTTCCATCCACATTTCACCTCCTGGCAGCGTTACAAACCTTTCACTGACACAGTTTGCTCTCTGCTAGGCAGACAGAGCTATCCATGGCCACTCCTCACCTATTCTTTCTCTCCAATCACTACACATGCAAAGGCTTTTCATAACAGGTCCCCAAGTTCATGATCCCCTCTTCAGATGGGGCTACAGCACTGGCACTCAGTGGAGTCCAGAGTTCTTTTCAGAGAATGTTTTGCTTAAAGAATCAATGCAGCTTCCAACACATGTTCTCTTCAGCTGGCTAATGGCCTTTATTTAGGAAAAACCTTCTCAAGGGCACTCTGAATACAGGACTTTTAAGAAAGAGTGCTGCTTTTTTTTCCCAGCCAAGTGGTGTCTAGCTATCTGCGCAAGCAGAATCAGAGGAGAAACCCAAGTCTTGCTTTGCAGTCTCAGCAGCCTGTGTTTGACCACACTGCAGTCACCCATAGCTGCCCCTGCACTCCTTATTCTCTGTCAGGACTTTGGAAGCGTGTTTATTTCAGACAGAAAAATGGCCATTTTGATCAATGTAAGGAACCTGCCTGTTCTGCAGTACTAAGTTTTGATGTATTAAAGGCTCCCATTAGCCTGGGACACTACAGACGTGTCCATCAGGTACTCAGAACTGCCTGGACCGTTCCACATCCCAGCACAACAGTTCATGTTTCCCAGGCATCAGATGCTGTAACCCAGCAAGAGCCAGGTTTCCAAGCCCAGCAGCTTATCATACCCTTCTCACTGGGGCCACAGGAGCAGTCACTCCAAGAAGGTGCGGAGTAATACTGGCATCACATGTTTCTTTTATCTCCCCTTCCCAAGCACAACTTCAGACAAAGCAGAAGAACTTCTTCCAGCGGCACTTGGAGAGAGTTTTGATGCCTTTGGCTGTCATCTTCTTTTCCTGACGTGCTTTGTGCTCAACACCGCTGACAATGGCCATGTCGAACACTTCTTTGAGGTTCTTCTGGGTCAGTGCTGAGCACTCCAAGTAGGCTTCAGCCCGGATTTTGTCTGCTAGACCTTCTGCCTGAGGCCGGGGCACAGGCTTCACATGGTAGCGATCCAGGCTGATAAGGACATTGACATCATCCCGCAAGTCTGCCTGTGTCCCCACTAGGAGCACTGGAGCCCGGGGGTTGTGAGTTCGTATCTCAGGAATCCATTTCTCTGTAATGTTTTGGAAGGAGCTTGGGTTTACCACACTGAAGCAGACAAGGAAGACATCAGTGTCTGGGTAGCAAAGTGAGCGCAAACAGTCAAAATCCTCCTGTAGAAAATAGAGAGAGGAAAAAAAAAAGATCTTCACTGGACTGAACTCTAAGAGCATGATGCTGCAGTGACATTTTCACATGTCAGCTAGGACATTCACCAGTCTGTGTCTGCCGTATCAGTGAATGGCTGACACTGGGCTAGCCATCTCCTTCCTTTCCAGTTAAATACTGCCTTCCACAAAAACTTGCAAACAGACCCTGTCCCACAGGACCAGAGCTGACCATTCCTTTGACAGAGCTTACCTGGCCAGCAGTATCCCAGAGCTGGATCCGGACTGGAGCTCCATCCACCAGGACCTGCACTGTAGCAGAAAGAGAATAAGGATGAGACTATGCAAGTTTTCCAGCACACGCGCGCACACACACACATTTTTCCTCTTGGAGTACTTTGTTTTCTATCCTGCCAAAGAGACCTCTGAAGTCACTTCAGCCTGTCCTCGCTGTTGAGCATCCTCACAGACCTCACTAAAACAGCTGAAGTTTGCACTGGAAACAACACGAGACTTGTTATAGATGCCCTGATTTGGTTATCCCTCATGTGCTTTGGACTTTTTTCCAGTATTTTCAAAGAATCATTCCATATTACTGAAAAACTCTTTCTTAGGAAGAAGAGCCCTTAAACAAACAGTGCCCTGAAAACAATCTGTTGTTCTTCTACTCTCCAAGTGGCGAGGATAAATGCAAACAGAACTTCAGCAACTTGTTCCCAGCTTCTTGGCTTAGGGAAGAAGCCCAAATCAGTCTTTGTTAAATGAACTATTGGTGATTTTCCCCATTTATTAAAAAACATATCTGTTTCAAGAAGTGTTCCAGATAAGAAAAAGCAAATACCTAAAACTTGGAAATAAAGAAGCTATTAAGGAAGCAATGATGAGTGAAATCCCCTTCAGAGGCTATCCACACACTGAAAAACTGCTGAGTTACAAATGTGAGGTCTGCTCCCATTTCACTCCCTAATCACAGTAAGCCTTCATGTGGTATCAGCTGACTCAGACTGAGGGCTGGCAGGACCTCTAATGGAAATCTGGAATGAAACTGTTAGATGTTTAAGTGCACAGACACCGCAGAGTCTGGCTGGGAACTGAGGAAAAGGAGAGAAAGATGCCAGAGGAACTCACAATCACTTAAAAGTCTTGACAATGTGGATGGGGATGTGCTCTGCTGAATGGAGGCAGACATCCTGTGCTAAAGTGACAATGGCTGGCACTTCACACTAGCTAGCTAAACCGCTTCTCTGGGCCCAGGAGGCGGCTTTATTGTTGTTTTTCTTTTTTTTTTCCCCTTTCTTTTAATTAGGAAGAAAAAGACAAAAGACAGGAATAAAAAAAGATTGATCCTATTTCTAAGGTAATTAGCCAGGTGACAAAAAGTGACAGAAAAAACTGAACTGGAGAGCCCAGTAGAAATACTTGGAGAAGAGCTCTCTTCCCTGGGAACAGACTGGGGAGAAGGAGGGTGACACAAAGTGTGAACTGAAACCGGGTGGGAGACAGTGAGTGAAGGAAAAATGAAGGGGTGGGTGCGTACACCACAGTGCCACTCCTCGCGGGGTAGCTGAAAGTCATAGCTTCCTTGTGACTGGGAATCGGTTGGATCGTTACCATATCTTTGCCCCAGAGGAGGAAGAGAAACCTGTTCTTGATCAAAGAACCTGCTAGATGCTGACTTGATCTTCAAGGCACTGGGCATTTGCCTTTCTAGTATCTGGTTTCTTCTGCCTCCAAAGTGTGCTGAGAGAACAAATTAGCATCTCTGAAGGGTTTTACAGCCTTCAGAAAAAAAAAAGGCACCACGTATATTACCTGCTTCTCCAGTGCTTGCACAAGGATTTTTTGTACCTGCTGCAAGCTAAGCTTCCCTAGCAACTCTGTGACAAGCCTCTACCTACCGCCCACACCGGGTCCACACCCGGGAATCACAGCACAACAGCAGAGGGGCCTGCAGAACAGGATAGCCTGGTGGGGAAAGGTCAGCGGGTGTGCGCTGCACTCAGCACTGCTGTGCCTGGCAGAGCACCCAGCAGCAGGCAGTGCCCGGGTAGTGGAGCTGCAACCTGGTCTTGGTGCTATTCCTCCTGATAATGCAGGGCTTTCTCCTATCTCATTACCTTCTTTAGCTCCTACTGGCCTTACTGTCCATTGGCCAGAATTTGGGTTAGGATGTAACCTGTGCAACTCACCTCTGCTGGAAGTTTCAGGTGCAAGTATTCCCAAAGATGGGGAAATTGGGCTGAAATTTCTGATTTGGGTCCTAAACTGTGCTTTGTGAATCCAGGGAGAGACTTTTTTCAAGCTTATCCAACTTAACAGGGTGAAGGGAAATTCCTCTATTCTCCCGTTTTGCGCTCCTCCCAATAAGAGGAAACTAGACTTTAAAGAAAAAATTTTAATAATGTTTTGGGTTTAGATCAGCTGCAAATTCTACGCACCTCTGGAAGTCAGGCTTGGTAGCTTGACATTCAGAGTGGGGCTAACCCTCTGCCCAGCTCTCCTCAAACTACTTGCTGCTAGGAAGGAAGTACTGGAGCCCACACTCGCCTCCACCTTTCTTGATCATTTTTCTAGGAACTTGTCCTTTCAGAAAACATGAAGGCTCCTGACCCTGGAAACTTCTTCCTTAGCCCAAACCGAACAGATGAGCTTGAGGAGAGCAGAGAGAGCAGGAACCTTCTCATGGAGGACTTGAGGGCTTCTTGCAACTGTTCCCAAGGGGCTGCAGGACCCCGAACAGCGACAGCGCTGTTGCTCGAACTGGCAGTTCTCAGTGCAAGAGTGAGCAACTGGGAGGA